CCAAGCCACAGCAGAGAGCTGGCCTGGAAGAGGGGCAACCGGGAAAGAGTCCAGCGCCCCGACCGGGACTAGGACCCAGTGTAGTGGCACCGCTAGGGGGAGGATTAGCCTATTGAGCCGCTGTGCCGGCCAATGATTTCTCTTTAAAAGAAATCCCTCTTCTGGTTGTCTACTAGAAGGAAATTAAATCACTACCTTAAAGACATACTTGTATTTGTATATACATTACAGTATTATTCACAAGGGTCAACATTTGGAAACAATCTAAGTGTCCATCAGTGGATGAGTGGATAAAGAAATTATGGTAGATACATGCAATGGAATATTACTCAACATTAAAAAGGAAGATCTTGTGATTTGTACAACATAGTTGAACCTGAAGGACATTATGCTAAGTAAAATAAGTCAAAGACATGCACAAAATATACTGCATCTCACAGATATATGGACTCTTAGAAAGTGGATTCTATAGAAGTAATTCTGAAAAAAATAATGATCACACTGGAGGGAGAATTCTTTCCTTGAATTATCGACATAAATTTACATGATCACATTTTATATCAAGATTACAATATCAAGTCATAAAGAATAAGCTAAAGTAAAATAGTGGTAATTAATTTATGATTTTTTTTAATTTAGAAAGTGGTAACACAGTAATGAAAAGTAACAATGAGTTTTAAGAAAATTTCTCAGAAAACCAATTACTTTAATATATATAACTAAAAAATAAGCATATATTTATCAATTTTCATGTAAAAGATAGAAAGGGATACATTTACATGAATTGCTAATCACATCAGTGAATTTGAGAACATTTTTTTAAGTGCTCATCAGGCAGTGTGCACTTAGTGCAGCAGCTAAGATACCATCTGTGATGTTCACATCTCATATCAGAGTGCCTGTGTTAGAAGTCCAACTCCACACTCAATCCCAATTTCCTCCTAATGCACACCTTGGAATATAGCAGTGATGGCCCAGGTACTCAGATCCCTGCATGTGGGAGACATGGATTAAGTTCTGGGGTCACGGCTTCAAGCTGGCCCTCTCTTGGCTGTTGTGGGCATGCGGGGAGTGAACCTGTGGATGGAAGATCTCTCTGTCTCTCTTTACTTCCCTTTCTAGTGTCTCTCTCCTTTGAATAAACACATTTTTAAAAGTGATTCAAATGCTCATCAAATGTTTCAGGCATCCAGATATTTCAGAATCAATGCAATGGTATTAATAAAGTTTATTTTTTTAAAAAATAATTGTAAATTTGATAAGCTAAAAGGGGTGAAGGTGAGGTTGAGCCTTCTCGAAAGCTATTTTATAAAGCATGGTTACCACCAAGCCACAGGCATCCTTGGATGCACTTACAGTGGAATGATTCGTCAGCAGCAGTGTTATAAATCCACTTGGCAGATGAGTAGTATGGAGAGGCCAAAGAGAAGTTTTCTCTTTTCCTTTCATAATGATTATTCATTTTAAAAATGCTTTGTAAAACTCCTTTAATGCCTTGAAATAATTGCAGGTTATAGTTTCTACTCATTCAATATTTTCGGTAATTATGAAGACATCTATATGACTGAAATTTTTCAGACTAACTCTATTCTTTGATGTTTTTTCCTCTCATTACTCTAAAAAGTAACCTTCAGGGAGAATCATTACATAACACGAGAAGAATAAATTTAAATCATTATTGTCCTCAGATTCTAAGATGTAGACCAGTAAAAGCCAAAAAAAAAAAAAAAACAACACCTTTTTTGGAAAGATGAAGCAATTCTCCTTGCTGCCTGGGACACTGAAGTATTTGATCTGGAAGCCTTGTTCTCCATTGTGACTGAAGCTTATTGTTGGATTTTTACCAGTATTAGAATTACCTTCTCAAGTACCTGAAATAGTTTTCCATGTCAGTTTGTGTTTTGAAAGGCAGGAGAATATTCTTGAGAAAGGCAAGATTTGAAAGATGCAAGCTGTTAAGTATCAATAGAAATGTCCATGATAGACCAAGAGTAGGACAAAATCCAGAACAGAGAGACTGAGGAAGATGAACTAGAATGACTTAGTGATAAAAATCTTAGTGTAAGCATGCAAACAAAGGAAGAACTTACATCTGTGGCACAAGTGCAGTAACCCAGATGGGAAAGGAGTATAAAATGTAATTTGCGTAAATATTGAGAGGATAATGTATGTATAAAAGAGATAGTCAAATGAAGCAGGTAGAACATCATTAGTTCTTTGCATCAGAAGAGCATTCCCAGTTGCCTTAAGATGCTCTTTTTGTTAATGATTATAGTATCCTAAATGAGTGTACTTATCCTCGACTTCAAATATGTGCATTGGTATGGTTAAAGAGATTGTATAAATTGATCAGAGTATACAATGAAGAAAACCCATCATTATTTCTGAGAGGTGTTTGTGCAAAACCAACAATGCCTTCAGTCAAATTAATGTCCAACAAGTGCTACTTATTTATCAGTTACTTTATTAGGCACTAAGATTCAACAAGAAGAAAATAAAGACAGAAATCCCACTTCTTGGTATTTTCCAAGTTACTGGGAGGAATCTAGACATAAATTACAACTGCAGCATATAATGTGAATCATGACATGTGCAATGAACAAGTGTAAGAGGTCCCTTCCCAAAGACACCCCTTTTCAGCATGAAGCAGCCAGTGCTATCATCACCCAGTTCTCACTAACAGATGTTAGGGTTTCCACCCGGGAGGAGAGAATGTGAGGAGTCAGCTGGGTTAATAGATAGTCAGGGAATCTCAATGGAATTTGAGGTATAAAATATTTGCTTCCTTCCCCAAAACATTATCTTTAGCAAGAATAAACAGGCTGCCCTCCTTCCTTCAGAATCTCCAAATTTACCATAATAGCAAGAGAGCTCCTCCTGAGCTCCCACCCTTAGCAGCCCAGACAGGATGGAGAATTGTTAAGTGAGGTTTTTGATGGTTTTCTCAGCCTGGTAACTGAATGCCAGTCTGATTCTCAAGTTTTTTTTTTCTTCAAAATTGTACTTAATGCCAACTGCCATTAATTCCTCTTTGGGTTTTCCTCTCTTGGAAGCCCCTCTCCACGCCTCTCTGACTGGAGGTCCTTGATTCTAATAAATACTTTTAAATCTCAAAAAAAGAGTACTCAAACAGTATTTTTCACTTTTTGTTTCTATGTGGGTGCAAACTGTTGAAATCTTTACTTAATATATACTAAACAGATTTTCTGTTTATAAAGAGAATTGAAAATGAATCCTGATGTGAATGGAAGGGGAGAGGGAGCGGGAAAGGGGAGGTTTGCGGGTGGGAGGGAAGTTATGGGGGGGAAGCCATTGTAATCCATAAGCTGTACTTTGGAAATTTATATTCATTAAATAAAAGTTAAAAAAGATATTTATGATATTATTTTCTAAAATTAAGAGTATAATTTTAATAAAAAGAAAATATTTTTTAAAAAGATTAAAAGAAACATGTGCAAGAGTCAAAGGAACAGTAAAGGAGTAAGGGGCAGGTCCTCTTCAAGTTCTCAGGACTAGAGCTGGCTTTTTGAAAAATGCGTGAATTGAAATGCAAAGAAAATGAAAGCACATTAACTATGTGAGGCTATACAACAGAGAATGTTCCAAGGCATGCCTGTACTCAAAGAGCTTAAACAATCAAACTAGGAGAAAATCCTGCCAGCTTTTGTCACCAAGGAGGTGAAGGCCATGACAGGACAGAGGACAAGAGTCTCTTACCACAGCACACTCAAAACTTCTCTGCGAAGGTTCTCCCTGAAAACTCCTGTAAGAGAAGAACTGGGAAGACCAAAGTTTCCCACTTCTACCACAGACATGTGCATTTAGCAGAGGGAGGGTCACTTTAGGATTATTAATTGCCCAAGTTGCCCATGTGGAAAACCTATTCTTAGACTTATCCTGTCACAGACAGAAGACTAGAAGATGCTTTCACAATAACTTGGAGTGAATATGATGAAAGGAGCTTGGATTTAGTTAGGTCTGATTGTGGCTGTTTTATCCTGAATTTAGAATGTGAGGGTTTTCCCTATCCCCTAAATGAAATTCTGCCAGCAATGTAAAACCCTGGATCAAATGAATAACAATCTAATACTTAAACTATGCTCATAGGGAGACTAGTAATTGAGGCAGGGGGTGGGGAATGGTAGAAAGGGGTAAAGAAGAAGGAGGAGGAGGTTGAAGAAGAGGAGGAGAAGAGGAAAAAGAAGGGGATGAAAATAGGAGGAGCAGACAAAGGAGGTGGAGGATGAGGAGGAGGAGAAGGAAGAGACGGAGAAGGAGGAGGAGGAGGAAGAAGAAAAGGAGGAGAAGGAGAACAATGAGGAGGGAAAGAGCCAAAGGGGACGAAACAGTGATTGTCAAGATGTGACCCTTCTGCCAGCAGCCTGTCTCTTGGAAACTTGTTAGAAATGTAATCCTCAGACCCATCCCAGTTTTACTAAATCAGAAACCTTGGGAGTTGCACACAGCAATCTGATACTGCTAAAGCCCAAGAACTCCTGATCTAGATTGAAAGCCTTATTGCCCTTGAAAACCAATAATGGGTTGAAGCTGCAGCAGATGACCATCTGCTGTGGATGCTGTGTGGGCTAGCATAAAACAAACCTAAAATAAAAGACATTCCTTTCTGGATTCCATGTGTGAGGTTGACCAGTTGTCAGAAAAAAGCATTGGGGTATATTTCTGCTTCCTTCCATTTTTAGTTCTGAGTTGCATGATGTACTTACTTATTTGGGAATATTTACGACATATCTTATACAAATTTGTAAGTATCACAAATACCACAAGCTAGTAACATAAAATTGGGGAAAAACTGCTTATCTGAACATATTTTTGATACTTTCATTGGACACAGAACCGATTCTACTTAAAAAGCAATGAGGTAGCCATAATGATCATTCAGTGATTGAATAAAATTACTGTGAAATTGTAATTTATTAATACTTCAGAATTTATTTCCATAAAATATTACTCTGATAAGAAATGAATCATGAACACGCATGTATAGATTTCTTTATCTAAATCTCATTTCTTCAAAAATGAAGTAGGGGTTGGGCATTTGGCCAAGTGGTTAAGACATCATTGAGACAATGGCATGCTGTATCAGACTACCTCAGCTTGAGTCTCTGCTCCACTCCCATTCTAGCTTCCAGCAAATGTGTACCCTGGGTAGCACTGGGTCCCTGCCACCCACATGGGAGACACAGACCCATTTGAGATCCAGCCCCAGCTGTTGTAAGCATCTAAGGAGTGAAACAACAGATGGGAGACATTTCTTCTCATTCTCTCTCCCTCTCCCTTTCCCAACCCCTTTCCTTATCTCTTTCTCCTTTACTCTCTCTCTCTGACTCTCAAATAATTAAAGTGATTTGGTGACCTTTTCTAGATAGTTGAGTGGCGCCTAGCCTCATAGTAGTGGGAGGATCAGAACTTAAATCCAACAAAATATCATTGAACTTATACTAGGATGAAGAGGGTAATAAAAACAATACAACTAAAAAGCTTATAAAACAATTTTTTGTTTGGACCAAATATAACTTTAAGTTTATAAATAATGATCATCCATAAGTAAACAGTGCCAGGGATGTGGTGCAGTGGGTTAAGCCACCACTATGACACCAACACGCAGTATGAGTGCTGGTTTGGGTCCCAGAGCCTCCACTTTCAATCCAGCACCCTGCCCATACATCTGGGAAAACAGTGAAATATGGCCACCCACAAGGGAGATCAGGTGAATTTCTAGGCTCCCGGCTTCGTCCTGATCTGGCCTTGGCCATTGCAGCCATTTGGGGAGTGAAGAAAGATCTCTTTCTCTCTCTGGCCCTCTCTCTCTGTAATTCTGCCTTTCAAATAAATAAGTAAATCTTTAAAAAAAATAAGGAAAACTTGCTTGGAATAAGATAAATCTCATTGAATTATAACAGCAATCCAAATCCTCCAAGCACAATTGTGAGAATTCCACAATCAGACAGCTGGATTTCAATGCCTCAATTTCTTAGCTGGGTTACCTCAGGACCTTATTTAACATCTTAATCTTACTTTTCTTCCCCTTATCTTCAAAATGCGTATAACATTAATGCCCAGTGTGAATATTGTGAGCCTTAAGTGACTAATGCATGTAAAGTGCTTAGGTTAGTGCCTAAAAATTGTGTTCAATAAGTGTTGTTATTTTATAAATAATAAATTAAATATTTTGTGTTTAAAATGAAGCCTAAGGAATTACATAGTGCTAAAGTTATTCCTTCAGAACCTATAAGGAACTTACCTAGCACTACTGTCTAAATACCTTTGACATATGCCTCACAGCTCATTTAAAACATAACACATTGATCTGATACAAGGACAACCGTGGGTCGGCATGGTAATATTATATGAGATGGATTTAAGCAAGCTGCTGGGGATAATCCTGGCAAACTAGCACCAGCTGATGAGGAGTTCTGCACATGTAGCTGCGTTTGCTCTGGTCTTCTTGCCTGCTGGTAGCAGCAAACATCATATTAATTTTATCCTTCTGCTCTCCACCTGGTCCTCCACTATGAGAGCTTGCGCTCAGTGATGTCACTCTTTGATCTTCCCATCTTTAATGTCCATCTGTTGTATGACTTTCCTTTCCAGCTTGGAGCACAGACCTGTGAGAAAGAACAATCCCTCATTGAACATGAAAAAGCGATTGTTTTTATTTGACAATGTTTAAATATAGATGTGGTCTAATGTTTTCAATAGATTTGGAATAGTTTTATCAGAACATCAAAAGTCTATTTCTTCTCTCATCTAGGTTGACCCAACAGAAAAATGAGGCATACTACACTTCCATTTGTCATTGTCTACAATGAAAAATAAAAACAAATTTAAAATACCACAATTAATCCCCAATGCTCAATATTTTTTTTAAACAAGAAAAAAAAAAAGAAATGACTTGTGGATTTGGAATAAGAACTGTTGTGTAAAACAGAGTTAGAAAGAAAACTGAAAACATATGAACGACAAGATAAAAGAGTAATGAGGAAAAAAAATGTGTAAGAGTTGCTGTGCTTTCTGATGGCTCTACTTCTCAATTCAGCCAAAGAGGAAAAGTAGTTTGCGGTAAATATTGCAGGCAGAATAGCAGGGTGCATGTGTAGCTACACACATCTGGCATGCAGGTGTCCAAGTGGAATTTGCCATCACTCCAAGAAACAGTCAGACATTGTCTTTTTAAATGGAGAATGGTGTGAGGACTAGTGGAATTCAGTGTTAGATGTCAAGCGAACAACATATTCATTTAAGTCAGAGTCACAGACAGAGTTGCTATTTGACATCCTTTTGTGTTAATTTTACTCCAGTGAAAATGTTTCATGAAAATGAGACAAACGCTAGTTTCTGGCTTTCACTTCAGAATCACTTCTTCAGAGGAAGCAAATGAAAAGGAGGCTGTTTGTAGTTTCCATTGCTAAAAATCTTCCTTACATTTAGAGTTACAGAGACATCAATTGCTCTTAACTTGGAAAGAAATAAAAAAGATTATCAGAAAGATTGTTGATCACAGAGTTATTTTTGAAGCAGACTTCCAAGAACCAATTCATATTTTTGGCTCAAAAACGGTTCTTCTGATAAACGTCTCAGCATCTTCTGGCTCTATTCTAGGGGAAAACAGTAACAAACAATTGCAATAGCAAACATTTGTTGTAGTAACAGGAGGCTTGCTAACTCAACCATTCTCTGCTCTGATCCACACTGGGGACCCCAAACTCTGAAAGGCTGCAGATACTTTTATTTACATGGACATTTCGAAGCTATAAACTATCCAGGGTCTATTACTGAAATGATCCCGAGGTTCTTCTCCTTTATTCTATTAAGGTGATCATTTTCAATGATGAGCAAACTCCCAACCTTAAGTTCATAGGATAAACTCTAGTTGTTTATGATGTACTATCATTCTGCTGGGTTTAATTTGCTAGTATTATTATTAAGAATGTATCTATGTTCACAAGGTATATTGATTTGTAATTTTGTCTGTAATATCTTTGGTTTCACATGTTAAGACTTGGTATAAAATGAATTGAAATTATATCCTCTTCTATTTCCTGGAATAGGTTACTCAAAATCGGTAGTTTATTTCTCCAACATCTGATAGAACACACTTGTGAAATAATTTAGATTTGATGTTTTCTTTGAGAGAAATGTTTATTTTCTTTAAATATATAAGGCTAGCCACACTTTATAATTCTTCTTGTATTGATTTAGAGAATTGGTGTTGTTTATTTGATTTTGCCATTTCAAATATGCTGCGAAATTCATTAACATAAAATTGTTGACAAATCACTTTCTTGTCTTTTTCAAGTATATAAATATCTGTTTATTCATTCTTAGTATTCTTAAGTTCTCTCTCCTTTGTAAAGCAAATCTTGCTAGATATTTAACAATTATACTATTATTTCAAATTTAACTTGATTCATTGATTTTCCAATTATTTGTCTAATTTCTATCTCATTGCTATCTACTTTCAGTGCTATCATTTTTAATATGTACTTTGAATTTAATTTGCTTTTTAAAACTCATTAGCATGAATATATATATATATATATATATATATACACACACAATGATTGTGTAATTTCTTCTTCATTTCCAGGTACTTAGAGATGTATAGATAATCTGTTGTCATTGATTTCAAATTTATTGTCATTATAAATAGAAAAGTATAGGCTGGCGCCATGGCTCACTAGGCTAGTCCTCCACCTGTGGCGCTGGCACTAAGGGGTTCTAGTCTTGGTTGGGGCACTGAATTCTGTCCCGGGTGCTCCTCTTCCAGTCCAGCTCTCTGCTGTGGCCTGGGAAGGCAGTGGAGGATGGCCCAAGTGCTTGAGTCCCTGCACCCACATGGGAGACCAGGAGGAAGTACCCAGCTCCTGGCTTCGGATCAGCGCAGTGCTGGCCATGGCAGTCATTGGGGAGTGAACCAATGGAAGGAAGACCTTTCTCTCTATCTCCCTCTCACTGTCTATAACTCTCTCTCTCTCTCTCACTGTCTAACTCTGCCTGGGCAATAAATAAATAAATAAATAAATAAATAAATAAATAGAAAGTATATTCTGTATGTCTCTTTCTTTAAAATTTACAGACTTGTTTTATAATCTATAATATGGCCTTCCTTGGTGAATATTCCAAATACATTTGAAAATGCTCCTATAAGTGCCTATACATAGTCTATAAACCTGTTAGGCAAAATTGATGGATCATGTTTATATATATATATATATATATACATACATATATTTTTTTTTTATTTTATTTTTTTGACAGGCAGAGTGGACAGTGAGAGAGAGAGAGACAGAGAGAAAGGTCTTCCTTTGCCGTTGGTTCACCCTCCAATGGCCGCCGCGGCCGGCATGCTGCGGCCGGCGCACCGCGCTGATCCGATGGCAGGAGCCAGGAGCCAGGTACTTCTCCTGGTCTCCCATGGGGTACAGGGCCCAAGCACCTGGGCCATCCTCCACTGCACTCCCTGGCCACAGCAGAGAGCTGGCCTGGAAGAGGGGCAACCGGGACAGAATCCGGCGCCCCAACCGGGACTAGAACCCGGTGTGCCGGCGCCGCTAGGCGGAGGATTAGCCTAGTGAGCCGCAGCGCCGGCCCTATATATATACATATATATATATATATATATACATATATATAAACATATACACACAATATTTTATTAAAGAAACCTCCAGGGGCAACAGGGTTATCCCCCCAAGGGTAGTAAATACAAGGAATCAGGAATCATAGGACTACTTTAAGAGTTTTCCTGCCTCCCTCTATTTTTCTATATCTGATTTTTGTGTTTTATTGAGCCAATAAATCTTAGGATGATGTCTCAAAAATAATATGTAGGGGGCTGGCGCCATGGCTCAATAGGCTAATCCTCCGCCTTGCAGCGCCGGCACACAGGGTTCTAGGCCCGGTCGGGGCACCAGATTCTGTCCCGGTTGCCCCTCTTCCAGGCCAGCTCTCTGCTGTGGCTTGGGAAGGCAGTGGAGGATGGCCCAAGTACTTGGGCCCTGCACCCCATGGGAGACCAGGAGAGGCACCTGGCTCCTGCCTTCGGATGAGCGCAGTGCGCCGGCTGCATCGCGGCGGCCATTGGAGGGTGAACCACGGCAAAGGAAGACCTTTCTCTCTGTCTCTCTCTCTCACTGTCCACTCTGCCTGTCAAAAATAATAATAATAATAATATGTAGGGGCTGGCCCTGTGACATAGCAGGTAAAGCCTCTGCCTTCAGTGACAGCATCCCATATGGGTGCCAGTTCCAGTCCCAGCTGTTCTACTTCTGATCCAGCTCTCTGCTATGCTTGGGAAAGCAGTAGAAGATGATCCAACCCCATGGGCCCCTGCACCCGTGTGGGAGACCCCGAAGGAAGCTCCTGGCTCCTGGCTTCGGATCGGTGCAGCTCTGGCCATTGTGGCCAGTTGGGGAGTGAACCAGTGGATTAAATAAGTTTTTCTCTCTCTCTGCCTCTCCTCTCTCTGTGTAACTCTGACTTTCAAATAAATAAATGTTTAAGAAAAAGCACTGATGATTAATGAGAAGAAGGCAAACACAGTATAAATTTTTTAAAAAAATGATATTTAACTGTATTGGGGAATTTTCATCCCACTATATAATATACATTTATATGTATTTACATTTATATATATATATATATATTTATACACATATTCATGTAGTGGCCTCAGTTTCACCTCTGCTGTGCCTTGTCTTCTCTCCCCAAATACGGCTGTTCAAACTGGAGGCTCTATGTTATACAAATAGCTGCAGAGGTGGATAAGTAGCCACAGAAGCCTCCTAGAATGCCCTGGCTTCCTAGTAGCTTACCACTCTCGTTTCCACTCATGTTTCAGCTTTTGGCCTCTGAATTGGCTATACTTCCTGTGAGAAACATTTCGCGCTTAAAAATGTTTATCTTTTCCTGAATTTCTAGGTAATGATATTGAGAGGATTTTTCAAGCTATAAATGCCACATTGCCTGATTGAACAATTTTTTCAAGGTCTACCTCTTTCTTCGTTCTCCTGTTACTGAGCTTGGGTTCCACGCCTTTCATAACGACCACCCCTTGCACACAACTTCAATCCCTCGCTCCCTTTTCTCTCCATCACATTGGAGGGGCAAAACCTCAGGCCTGGATACACAAATCCTACCTGCTTTATGAGCATTTTATTTATATACAATTGTGCTGACTGCGCGCCCTTTAAATTTACGATGGCAAACCTTAAGTAATTCACCAGGGCACAGCAATCTTTCTTCGTTTCTACAGTCCATTGCCTGTTCCATTCTCCAGGAAGGCACGTTCACACCTTCTTCTTTTTTCTCAGATCATCAACACATTTATAGCTGATGACCTGACCTCTTCTTTCACTGAATAAAATGATACCAAGGAAGAATGACCTCATCCCTCCCAGCACATGTTTCCTTGAGGTTCTCGTCTACTCACGTTGGCTTCCCCACCATTACAGAGGGTGGGCTGCGGGTGCTGCTCTCTAGCGACAACGCTTTCACTTGTGCATTGGATTCCATCTGCCTCCCACACTTAAAACCTGCTCCTGCAATCATCCCCTCTCTTCCTCGACATCAGTATTCCCTTCTCCCCTTACCAACAGCACATAAA